ATTAAGGACTCAACTTCAAAGTCACCCTGTATATATACTAAGTGACATAAATCCGAACACCCAGTTTAAATGGTTTTATTTTAATAAAAGTTGGTGAATGTATTTATCTTACTGTAAATAACAAGTGAAAAAATTTTCAGCCTTATCAGTTGGACATTCCGGTTTTTATACTGCTTTTTTTTAATTCACTAACGCTCTAAAAATGAATATTTCAGCCGCAGTAAAGAATCAACGTTGGCGGATTTTGGTTCTTGACATCCTTTACGATTGGTTACGATGCCTAGAGTACGGAGACCTGTACGATTTCGTCAACTTAGTGGGTTTGATAGGGACCGTATAGTGGGACTTCGGGAAGCTGGACTTTCTTTTCGGGCAATTTCAGTTAGAGTGCAAAGAAGTGTAGACAATGTGGTTAGGTGTTGTCAGGCATGGCTTCGAGAAGGCCGTACGCAAAGAGCAAGGGGCACTGGACGCCGCCGTAGAACAACAGACCGTGAAGATCGCCGCCTACCAGGTCCATTTAAACTGGGTGTTCGGATTTATATGTCACTTAGTATATATACAAAGAGCAAATGAACCCGAGGAAACGAAGGTTGAGACGGAAAAGATCACATACGAAGTCCACAACAAGAGCCAACATACACATTGTGGTATAAAATGGCTAGAAGACCTCGAATTTTCAAGGCGACATCTTACCACCACCACGCGGTCGGTTATAGCCACTTGCTGTGGTACTTCAAGGCCAAAGGATCTACAAAGAGAAAAATGATCATGCATTGTTTTCCTATTTTTGTTATATACCTTTCTCCGCATGATCATTTTCTCTTTGTAGATCCCGTAGATATAGGGATACAAAACATAAGATAATTTCATATATTTATGACTTGTTCCGAAGTAGTCAAGGCAAAAGTGGGAACATTGAAATGGATCGTTCGGCGATTCTGAAGACGAACTGGAGTCTGAAAAATTTTTATTTTATAATGTCGCCGATGTAATATTTTTCTTGAGCCTTACCGTCACTTTACTTCGAGGAAATGTTTCTTGCAAGTTGAACCAAACGTTTGGCACGTTAACTCATTTTATATACTAAGTGACATATAAATCCGAACACCCAGTTTAAATGGTTTTATTTTAATAAAAGTTGGTGAATGTATTTATCTTACTGTAAATAACAAGTGAAAAAATTTTCAGCCTTATCAGTTGGACATTCCGGTTTTTATACTGCTTTTTTTTAATTCACTAACGCTCTAAAAATGAATATTTCAGCCGCAGTAAAGAATCAACGTTGGCGGATTTTGGTTCTTGACATCCTTTACGATCGGTTACGATGCCTAGAGTACGGAGACCTGTACGATTTCGTCAACTTAGTGAGTTTGATAGGGGCCGTATAGCGGGACTTCGGGAAGCTGGACTTTCTTTTCGGGCAATTGCAGTTAGAGTGCAAATTTTGTTTAGGCATGCACGATGGTCGTGCCAGGGTTAAAAGGCGACGTGGTGAAAGGAGGAATCCACAGTTTTTTATTGAAAGACATGTTCATCACACTGTTGGAGTTATGGTTTGGGGTGCTATAGCTTATGGTTCCAGGTCACCTTTAATCTTCATCAGAGGTAACATGAACGCGCAGCGTTATATCCACGAAGTTCTAGAACCCCATCTTTTACCCTATCTTGACACCCTGGCAGATCCAACTTTCCAACAAGATAATGTCCGACCACATGTTGCAAGAGTCACAATAGACTTCTATCAACATAATGATGTCACATTGTTACCATGGCCACCAAGATCTCCCGACTTATCCCCAATTGAGCACGTGTGGGATATGATGGGTAGGAGATTGCTCAATTTGCAACGTCCTCCTCAGACTCTAGAAGCACTTCGAGAGGAGTTGGTGGTTGCCTGGAATGAGATACCACAGGAGGACATTGACCACCTGATCAGAAGCATGCCTAGGCGCGTTGGAGAATGCGTAGCACATCAGGGTGCATCCACACATTATTAAAGGTCAAAGGGCTTTAAAGCAGTGCAATCATTTTGAAATTTTTATCATTTACTTATTATGCTTCATTAAGTACTTATACAAAATTTTATTAAAATAAAACCATTTAAACTGGGTGTTCGGATTTATATGTCACTTAGTATAATTGCACGTAAAAAGCACTAACTAGAAGCAACTACTATCAGTCAGAACATCAACGTCTACTCTACCGTGATGAGAAATAAATTGATTTGTACAAGTAAAACAGGAACGAACAAGTCAATTCGGACCACCATGGCGTGCTAGGCATATGTTTCCCGCCACGCCACGGCGGTCCCTAGGGACCGCTAAACATTTTTTTGAGAAAACAGCTAAAGAGATAATAAATAAATGAATCAAACGTATTTCTGCAGACAAATGATACAAACTTGGACTTTGGCCATTTTTCTAACATTTTCCTTGGCGTTTAACGTGTTAATGAAGTGAACTAAAAATTTTAAAATAATGTTTTTGGAAATGTTTAAACGAGCTCTTTCATCTCAAGTTTTCAAATTAAAGGATATTCACAAACATGTTTTTTCAATTTGAAATTGATGAAATGCCTATTAACAAACAATGTTTTTAGTACAACAAAGCAGTTTCTTACTAATTTAGATATATGCTCACGAAAACGTAAATCCTTGTCAAGTAAGACACCCAAATTTTTTGCAAGATCCTCATAAACTAAAGAAGTGTCATTAATCCGTACTGTCGTGTTATTTCTGATATTAATGATTTTGTTTTTTGGTGCAAAGAGAACAGCTTTAGATTCAGAGGCATTTATCGTTAAGGAGCTATGCTTGGAAAAACTAACAATAGTGGCTAAGTCACAATTCAACTCGTCAACAGCTGCTACACAGTCATCTGGATCAAAAGTTTTACATATTTGTGTATCATCCGCAAAAATCATCACTTCAGAGGAGCGTATCAGTTTACACGTGTCTGATATGTAAATGGAGAACAATAGCGGTCCAAAAACAGAGCTTTGAGGGACCCCTGATATCACATTCTTATATGAGTCGAATATGAGTTGTCCAAATGTACCCTTTGCATACGATTCATGAGATAACTAGTAATGAACTTGATAGATGCTTGAGAAAATTCAATATATTTGCATTTTGAGATCAAAAGTGAATGATTGATAGTGTAAAAAGCCTTGGAGAAGTCAAGCACTACAAGAGCCGCTGCTTGACCCCGATCCAAAGCCTCAACAATATCATCAGCAGGGCAGTGGTGGTGCTATTCCCTACTTTGAAGCCAGACTGGTTTTTTGGAATTGTGTTATTCTCAGAGCAGTACTCTTTCAATTGATCATGTACTATCCTTTCCAATATTTTTGATAGAATCGGAAGTAAACTTATTGGGCGCAGGTCGGAATAAGCTGAAGGGTTATTAGTTTTTGCCAAGGGAACAATTACTGCTTGCTTCCATGCAGAGGGAAAATAGTGAAGTTACAAACAAGAATTAATCAAATGCGTTAAATATTTGCCAGTCACAGGAAGACACAGTTTTATCATATCAGGCGTAATACCATCATGCCCACAGGCATTAGATTTTATTTTAAATAAATGCGAACGTATATCTTCCTCAGTGGTCATGACCAGATCAAATTTGAGCGATTCATTAAGTATGTTATTATCATAAAATTCTATTTCACTAGCACTGTGCTGAGTATTATCTTCAAAAACAGATAAAAAATAATCATTTATCTGCGTTGCATTACGTAAACTACCAGGTATGTGGTTACGCTTCTTAGTCTGGATGTTCAAATTCCTTATCCCCTTATATAAAGAAGATGAATTGTTAGTTTCTTGTAAGTGCTGAAGATAACCAGCCTTTTCTCTACGCTGTGATGCAAGAGCATAATTTCTCAGTTCTGTGTATTCTGTCCAGTTCTGATTTGTCCTATTGTGTTTGTATTTTATTAAAGCTTGAAAATAGCTCTTAAGTTTTGCGTTAACCATGGAGCAAAGGGCTTGCTTACCCTCGCTGTACGCAACGGTGCATGTATATCAAACAAAGAAATTATAAGATCATTTAGAAATTCCACTTTGTCATCAATGTCTCGAATACAAATAATATCATTCCAGTTTATAATCAGTAAGTCGGCCATAAAGTTGTCATGATCAAAATTTTTGAAATCACGGTAAGTGACAATTTTTTGTGGGGTCTGATGTTTATCAAAAGATGCTTCACAGTAAACCAACCTATGATCGGTGAAGACATCTACATTTATTGTTATACATGTGTGTAGCTAAATTTTTTCCAAGAGGGGCTAATTTGTCCCACCTCCGTTTTCATATTACATTCACGTTGTATAAGATGATTAAAAAAATCATTGACTTCACAATAATCTAACTGATGACAGGATTAGAGAGTCAATCTACTTGACGCCATTTTTTGCACATGTACGGTAGATGGAAATATGAAGTCAAGTGAATTTTAAAATGAACTCACAATTTACTCATATATATGTAAATATGTTATAGAGATAAAACCGGTAGAAGTCAAGGTCGATCGATATTAACAAGGACATATTCGATTATTGATGATTAATATTCAAAACATAACTAAAACATACATCAAAAATGCATTAGCATATCTCCTCGTTATACTATACCTAGAATCGATTTTTGTAAAGATACATTAGGTGCCACATTTAAGGTCGGTACACATTTACCTTATTTAACTTGCTAGCAAGTCGGGTCAACGCTCTGTCTAAGGGTAAAGTAGTTTTCAATTTTTATATGACTCATCATGATTTTCCTTTTTAATTTAAAGATATCTTTTGGGAGAGAAATGGGCGATTTTGCGCCCCCTATGGGGATGAATGCAACCCAGTGAAAACTGTTACTTATCATTAGAAGCAGACAAAAATTATTGGGAACTCGCAAAAAGCGGGGAAATACTAGTACGCCTTTTGCATAAACATGTTGATAGTTCAAAGATAATTGAGAACTATAATCAGAGCTAGGTTGAACATACCTGTATTTTCTGTCTTCGGGATGGTTTAGCTGTTTTTTCCATACGTATTTCGATCAAATACAATTCTAATGGAGTTGTTTCCAATAGCTAGAATATGAACAGGAATAGCAAGGAGGCGACTCAGCCTTTTCTATATATTCCAAAAGAATTTATCCTGAAAGACTTTTTTATTAGTTTTTTGTTGTTTTGAGAACGGTTGTAATCTTTCTATGATATATTCAGCATTTACAAGTTTACATGCTGTCCCAATCGCGAAAGGACGGAGTATTATTCTTAACCCGTAGCCACAGACGTGGAGTCAATTTGACTCCTTGCTAGTATGTGGAGGGGGATTTCCAGTTTTCTCCTCAGTCTATCTGTCCAGGCCTAGAGGTACCTTTTCATCGAGTAGTATTGAACTAGCACTGAGACAATTGCGTTGATTGTGTACGTTATTTACATTTCATTACGACTTGAATTTCCGACGGAGTCAAAAGGACTACAGGTCTGTGATAATGTTATATTCTAATTTCTGTATTTCATGAACATGCTCCGCTTAGTTTAGGTTTTTAGGATGGATTTTAATAGCAAAGCTGGTCCCTCAAAAATAGTTAGATATGGCGATTCGGACTACGAAGAAACTTTGCTGAAATGGGCTGCTGAGGTGGATGAGGAAAATGAAAACGGCAGTGGTATTGATTCAGATGCCGAATTCATTTACAGTGATAATGAGAGCGTCCGGAACAAGAATGGACAGAGATTGCGAAAGACTTTCTACTGAAGAAGATGAAACATCGAACCGCGTTTCTACAAGAAACTATTTCTATGGAAAAAAACCATTTCAAATAGTTTGCGTGAACTGTGCAAAATGAAAAAATTACTTTGGAAAACCTACTGCACGTTTCCAGAATATTACATTCACGTTAATTTCTAATCGTTATAAGTATTCTTTTTCATGTTTTTAACGAGTTTTGTATGAAAACAACCTAGCAAGTTCATTTTTTTATGTTAGAAAGCTACCAAAAATGTTATTGTAAATATTCACGAAAATTGTGTGCAATAAATACATTTCTTTAAAATCTGGTTGCTTTTTACTGAGGATTTTTTTTTATTAAAAACGATATTAAAAGAGACACTATTTAAGTGATATAACATAGAGGTAAACTTGTTTTTATTTTCCAAATATGTTTTCCATGGCCTTCATTATAGGAGTCATTGTGACGCCACGTCTGTGGTAATGTTCAATTTATTGGCCGTCTGTGGTTACGGGTTAAACAAAAAACAATTAGATAGGGTGTCCCAATTTTGACCTACATATCAAAGTTGATTTTTACTTCCCATGCCTACTGGCGGGGAAGTATTGTAATCGCGAAAAATGTTTACACAATGTTGCTACTATGCTAAAAGGACTCAACATTTTTATAGTTAAAAAAAATAAAAATCTCTCAAATTTCGTTTTATAGCGTTTCAGACTATCAAAAACACAAGATGTACTTTTTGTATATTTTTCAATTATCAAATACCTATTTTCATGATCTTTTTTTTAATATTACGTTATTACCGGTTTGTTCAAACGGTATTTGCGTTATAGCTATTTGTTATAAAAATTGGATATGTATTCAAGCAAGTCACAACATCCAGTGAAATAAAAAACAAGTAAAGGATTATTGACAATCTTTCTACAGGGTGACAGGTAAATAGGTGTAAAACATTTTAGGAGGTGATAGTACAACTCCGTTGCTATCAAAATTAGTATATAATACCATACCCTATAGTCAAAGGTTAAAAAGTTATGGAAGAATCAATTTTTTTTAAAAAACAACCCAGATTACAGAGGAAAATAGTTGAGATAAAAAAAAGTTGGTGATTAAACATTCTTTTTTTGGTGGTTTTAGGTTATTATTTAAATAAATAATTCTCATAAATTAAAAAACATATGAAAACACTACTGAAAACGTATTTATTTTCATTTAAATGTTAAATAAAAATTTTTATTTTCAACTTTCACATTAAGAAGTCTTTTTTTAAAAAAAAAACAATTAAGAAAATGAACAAATAACTGCAAAAACTTCCTCGTTTCATTAGGTTTCTAAAATGGTATAATAACATATCAGTAAGTAAACCATTTAACAAAACAATATTACTTTGCTAGAAAGGACCGCTAAGCGCATTTCATTGTACTGAGCAGGTAAACCGAGCGTTTCATGGTTCGACCCTTTTTTGTGCCCTGTGCCGTTATTCGGAATCTGTCGTCGCTCCTCGGAAGCAAGCTCAGCGTGTGTTATGAATTGACACAGCTGACGGATCAAGGAAAGGGAACTAACGCTTAGGTTAGTTAGTAGAATATCAACCTTCAACGCAGTAGGACGTACTTTTACTTTTTTGATCAGTTTTAATAATGGCGAGTTACCGTAACGAAGAATACGCTGATATTCTGTTTTGTTATGGTTTAAGTGATGGAAATTCCGTTTAAGCCAGGCGAGAATACGAAAACCGTTTTCCGAATCGGCGAATACCGAGTCATCGAGTATTTGCTTCTGTGTACCAACGCGTCAAGTAAAGTGGACAGGTTCATGAGAGACGTCATGATGCTGGTAGACCTCGGTTGTTTGACGTCGAAGATCGAGAGGCAAAACTGGAATGCTACGGCAGAGACCCGACGACGTGTACACGAGTTATAGTAAAGCAGCTTGGTTTAACTCAGTGGAAAGTTTGGTTCGTTTTGCATTCGGCGAGACTTTACCCTCTCCATTACACACCGGTTCAAGTATTAGAAGAAGGAGATCCCGCAAGAAGAATTGATTTTTGTCGATACATGCTTCATCGGGATCAAGAAGAAAACGACTATTTAACTAAAATATTGTGGACCGACGAGTCTAAGTTTGACAGAGAGGGGACAACAAATTATCACAACTTACATTATTGGGCCCCACGAGAGGCAAATCCCCACATGGCAAAGCCAACAGCCCATCAAAGAAGATTTTCGGCAAACGTGTGGATGGGAATCATTCATAAGTATCTAATTGGACCAGTTTTTTTGCCTGACAACCTGAATGGCGAATCCTATGAAAACTTTTTGAGATCCGAACTCTGGGAGTATCTCGAAGACCTGCCTCTGAATATCAGGATGCAGATGATCTACCAACACGATGGCTGTCCCGCGCATTTCCGTCTGGGTGTTAGACAGTGGCTAGACGAGAAATATTCTTGTCGCTGGATTGGCCGAGGTGGACCGCACCGTGGTCAGCGAGGAGCCCAGATTTAACACCGTGTGACTATTATTTATGGGGGCACATGAAGTCACTGGTGTACGCTGAGCCCATAGACACTCTTGCACAGTTGGAAGAAAGAATTATTGTTGCTGCTGACACTATCAGAGGACAACTAACTGGCCGCATCACGCGTACCAACATGAGAAAAAGACTACGGGCTTGCATAAGAAACGGCGGGCGTCAGTTCGAACAACAATTGCAATGAATTTTAGCTTCATTTCATTATTGTATTTTACTTACCAATTCTGTAGTACAATTACAACTGTGTAAATAATCTACTCGTGTAACTTAACCGTAGTTTAAAATAATAACTATCCCATAGCTTACAGTTACATTATTTTCTCAAAAACACTTTCTTATCAATCAGAGAGTTGTGAAAATAGCCATTGGTAAATTTACTCCCTATTGTTGTATTACAATACATTATGTTTAGTTTTACACAGTTTTTGTGCACTTATCATACCAATTTAGATTCCTTATGAAACAAGGATATTATTTAAATTGTTTGTACGTTTTTTTGTATACTGATTTTTTTGTAAATCACCTTACTTACTGTAAAATGTTATTTGTTTTTCTTAGTTAAACATTTTTGAATGAAAATAAATACGTTGTTTGGTATTGTTTTCGAATCTTTTTTAATTTATAATAGTTAATTATTGAAATAATAAACCAAAACCACAAAAAACAAATGTTTAATCGCCAACTTTTTTCTCTCTCGACTTTTTTACTCTGAAATATGGATTGTTGTACTATCACCTCCTAAAATGTTTTACACCAATTTACCTGTCAGCCTGTATAAGATCAGGCTATTATCAAGAAACCAAGTAATTCTATGCTTTTCTATTGTAATTCGTTATTACGATGATTCGTTCAGTGAAAAGTGATTTTATCGGATTTTTTACTGTTTTATAGGGCTGACAAGTCCAATGACTTCCGGAACGAAAAATGGACAAGGTATTTTTTTTTTCGTAATGGAGCAACCCATCTTTCTATATAAAAAGAATTTTGTTCCCAAACCTTCAAATTGGTGGTATAGGCCTTTGGATCTAATTTTCGATATTTTACAATTGGTCATTTCCATGACGCATATCAGGCTCAATTTTGTTTCCTGAAAGAACCTATGGAGTTCCTAGGTAGTACAGTTCGCTCCGGCGACGCGTTTGAAATTTCAAGCTTTCGAAAAAAGTGAATTCTAGCCTTTTTAACAACCTTTCCACTTTTTATTTATTTATTTATTTATATACAGTTTGGGGTGTTAACAGGTAAACCCAACACACACCCTCAGTGAACTAAAACTAAACTTACATAAAATATCGTATACATATACATATATTACATTATGGAATACTTCAATATTAATATTTTTTTTATCTTCCGATATTGTTGTAACAACATAAACTGAGTGAGTAGTTCTAATTATAAGCAATAAACTATTAATTTAACTTTTTTAATAAAAGGAGTATACATAATTTAACATTAAATTTACGTTTAATTAAAACTGAAATCAATATTAAATTGAAATTATACCAGAAATGATATTGGAGGTAATAACTTGAGTTATGTAAAAAAATAAAACATTTCTATTTTAGTCTGCCATAGAGCTGCAATACTCATACTTTAAAGCCTTTTTCAGGAAGGTCAAGCTAATGTTAAATAAAACTATATTACAGAAATTATTATGATTTTTTTGAGCCCTGACCAAAGGGGAATTAAGACCAAGATTAGTTCTACGGAACGGTATTCTAAACAGATGATAGGTTCTAAACGTTCTATCAGGAGTGTTAAAGTTCAAGTTTGCCAAAATATCCGGACAGTCAGTGAGGCCATTCAACAATTTATGAACACAGCAAATGTCAGAAATCGTTCTTCTATCTTTTAAGGAAAGCATATTGAACTGTTTCATAATTTGCGTATAATGGTGATCTGTAACAGGTTGGTGAGTTTTATGTGCTAACATCTTCAAAAATTTGTGTTGAATTCTTTCTATCCTGGCTATATGTACATTGTAAGACGGATTCCATATTACTGATGCAAACATCAATTTGTTGTGTATATAAGCGTAGTACAATGAAAGAA